GCTCTGATAGAACAGCTGCAGCTGATAACTGGCTGCCTCTGCCTGCAGTGATGGAGAAAAGCTTCATGTTTCTCTAAATTCTGTTGGGTTCTCCTGCAGCAGCAGCCTGAGTGTGTTTACAGAGGAACTGATTCCTCAACCAAAACTCCCATTAAAATAAATTGGTTTTTAAAGGTTCTTTGTGTTTGGAGAGAGAAGTTTAACGGAGTCCCATAGAAGAATTTTCTGGAGTCAGCAGCGTCATCTCTGCTTCTCCGAGGACGCTCAATATGTCATCAACTCCCTTTTAAAAAGTTTCACTTTTACATCCAGGAAGGAACATTTGGACTAAATTGGGTCCTTGTGTTGGTTTGATTTTGCTGCACCTAACAAAGAATCAGGCTTGGCTACAGCTGTATGTGTAGTAAAGCTGACTGAAGCCTCACTCTGTGCAACGTCAGCAGGACATGACAGAGAAATATGTTGCACGTAAAGGCTTTGAAGGTGATATTTACTTCTGGATACACATGCAAAGTCGAGATGAATACTATACTCTTCTTTAGCCACTTCTTTGTTGTCTTGGCGATATGTTCTGGGTCATCTATCACAGTTCTGACTGAGGGAAGGAGATGAATCTATAAAAATGTCAAAGATGACACATTTTGATGGACATACAGCAGTATCTCTTTACTTTAAAGAGGCTTTAACAAGGTAAAAGTGCTATTGGTAGAAAACTTGGAGTTCTTGTCGTAGTCTGCAGAGTCCTGACTGTGGCAACCTGAAACAGTATGTGAAAGGCATGTTTTTAAGAAACGTTCATCAAAGATCTGACCTGGGAAAGCCAGTAGCAACAGGCTTATGGAGCGATGAATCCAGACTCAAAATAAGGAGAAAGGTAGAAGACTGAGTCTGTAGTCATCTGTAAAACCTGCTGGAGGCTCGGTCATGGTTTCTGTCTGCATTTCTTTCAGTGGTGTTGCATAATTTCCTTCGGGATTAATAAAGTAATCTGATTCTGATGTCGTCAAAAGTATTTAAAGTACAACATACTGTCAGATTTGGATCCTCCATGCAACACCATCTGCAACGGCTTCATAACAACGATCTCAAACACACTGCCGGTGCAGTAAAAGCATACTGCGATAGAAAAGCACACCATCAGTCATGGATTGGCCTCCCCACAGCCTGGATCGCGTGGGATCAAAAGTTGGCCAACGTCGGAAGAAGATCTGTGCTGGGTGCAAATCCACCATCTGATCGGGCCTTTCTGCTGGAGTTTGTTCTTCTCATGTCTTAATAATAATAGATTGCATTTATACAGCGCTTTTTGAGATCCTCAAAACGCTTTACAATTGCACTATTCATTCACATTCACACACTGGTGGAGGCAGCTACAGTTGTAGCCACAGACTGACAGAAGCGAGGCTGTCATATCGCCCCATCGGCCCCTCTGGCCAACACCAGGAGGCGATAGGTGAAGTGTCTTGCCCAAGGACACAACGAGCCAGGGCTCGAACCGGCAACCCTCCGATCACAAGACGAACTGCCAACTCTTGAGCCACGGTCGGCCACATCTTCATGTGTTCCTTCTGCGTACTCTGGCTTCCTCCCATAATCCAGACACATGCAGTTAGTAAGGTTAAATTAAATAGTGATTCAAACTGTCCACAGGTGTGACTGTGAGTGCAAATGCCCTGCCCTTCCCCGTTCCTACGACAGACTCGAGCTCCATTATGACCCTGAACTGGATAAGCAGAAGAAAATGGATCTATCTCAGACTGTTCACTTTCTTTCCCTCAGACATTTTTATTGAATTTTATGCATCAATTTTACAAAAGACAAATTGAACAATGTGCTGTTTTCTTTTTGTAGAACGTAAAACAATATGAGACATACAATCCTGACTCCTGCATTAGTCCCAGAAGGGCTCTAGCTTCCACCAACACAGCTTCACATGCTTCACCACCGAGCCATGAGACTCTCTGACTCAGTCAGTCAGGGAGTATTTTGGGAAATGTTAGTAAGTGGTATCTTACGTAGTCTAGTCTCACATTGTACCTCCAGGGCTTGTAGCTAATGTGCAACTATCTCTAAAAGGTTAGCTAGTGACAGAGCAGGTAAGAGTGTGAAAACGTTTGTGCACACATTGTGAGAAAGTGTCTTTAATCGTGTACGTGTGGAGTTTAAATGCACAGTTAACCACAGATTAGTGCGCACACTTTGAACGAGACCCATCGCTGCCCTTTAGTCACGTAGATGCTCTTCAGGGATTTATTGTAATCTTTCTGCACTGTGCGAGGGTCCCTTTGGGTCCAAGTCAGATAAATGTGGTCAGTGCAGAGTGCTGGTGCTGTGGGGTCGCCACCAACTTCTTGCAGCTGCACATCTGCTGCTTTGCTAGCACGCAGCGTACTACGAGGACAAGCCGTGTTGTGTCTGCGTCCGTGTCACCAAGCGAGCGCATCATCATTGTTTTTGTTTTGATGTGCGAGGCTATAAAATATCCTTTTTTCTTCTTTGAACATCGTTTCCTGCGTGGGCTTCCCAGTCTCATGAGAGATCGAGATAGCGAGGATGGAAATATTAATAGCAGAGACATTTGGGAGAGGTGAGATAGTAGTGAGGTACAGCCATAATGCATAATGCATTAGAGGAGAGAGGAGAAATTGGGGAGCAAGGGGGAGGATGTACCCATTCATTCACTTCACTACCGCTAATGTGCCCCGTGGCTTGATAGCTGATAGGTCTATCTCGCTGCCTCTGTATCTGACTTGGGATCGCCACTCTGCTGCTGTTTGAGCAGGAGGGGCAGGAGGAGCGGCCCCTCCGACCAGAGGAAACGTCATCTCACGAGAGCTCTGCTTCATATTATTTGAAACGGTTTAATGATGAACAGTTGCTGTTTTAGATGCTGACAACACACTTGGAGTGCAGATCATTTCTAAAAGGGGAAAAAGAGGCAAATCGTAGAGAATCAACTGCAGGCTGCAGTTATTAAAGGAGCGACAAATGCAAAGTACATGTTGGGGAAAAAAGGCATAAAATTTGTAGAGTCTGAATCCATCTTTAGCTGAACAGAGTGGCACAGTGACAGTGACAGAGCGCCGGGCGTCTTACTCTGCCTGGTTATCACTGTCAGGGACCAGTCTGCTGCACCAGCAGGCCCAGCACTGTGATAACCACACAACTTACAGCCCCTTTATCATAATTAGCTTTTCCTTTTTAACCTTAAAAGGCCTTCCATTACTGGGTCCTTCTCTGTCGGGTGGCTGACACACCACACGATTGGTTTCTCTCACAGCGGGCCTCTCAGTATAGTCTCCCATAACGGGCGAACTGCAGGGAAGGAAGAGCAGCTTTATGGAGGCAGATGGAGCTGCTTGTTTAAATAATGAGAAAAGAGGATCTAGGAGGGCGGAGTAAACTCAAATTCAAATTTTATTTGTCACATACACAGTCATACACCAT